CCAAAATAATGTCATTGTTGGAAAGAGATGGAAGTCTGGTGGTGTGAGTTTGGGTGAATAAGGGGGATGTGGTCGAATTCCAAAGCCACAGGAGCATGCTTCCATTTGGGCAACATATGAATTGTGAACGGGTGCCTTGTCTCGCAGAAGGCGGACCCTTTTGGTATGCATGTCACATTGTCTCTTGGTTTTGATGGCCTCCCGCAATGTCCACAGCAGTGAAGCCTAGTCTGCCCCAGTGATCATGGTCCCCTTTGCTAGAAAATCCATCCATACTCCTCCGTGCTGGTCCCAAAATACTGTGAGCGTGGCCTGCCTGTCACAAGAAATTCAATGTGCAAATTTGACAAATATGAATTTAATATGATGTGTGGGAATGAATGGAAGGATGGGAGAAGGTGTGGTTGGAGGATCCAGTCTTTATCAATGATTTAGACGAAGGGCTAGAAGGCAGGATCATCAAGTTTGCAGACGACACCAAATTGGGAGGGAGAGCCAATACTCCAGAGGACAGGAGCAGAATTCAAAACGATCTTGACAGATTAGAGAGATGGGCCAAAACTAACAAAATGAAGTTCAACAGTGACAAATGCAAGATACTCCACTTTGGCAGGAAAAATGAAATGCAAAGATACAGAATAGGGGACAATGCCTGGCTCGAGAGCAGTATGTGTGAAAAAGATCTTGGAGTCCTCGTGGACAACAAGTTAAACATGAGCCAACAATGTCATGTGGCGGCAAAAAAAGCCAATGGCCTGCATTAATAGGAGCATAGTGTCTAGATCTAAGAAAGTCATGCTACCCATGCTCTATTCCGCTTTGGTTAGACCACACCTGGAATATTGTGTCCAATTCTGGGCACCACAATTCAAGAGAGATATTGACAAGCTGGAATGTGTCCAGAGGAGGGCGACTAAAATGATCAAGGGTCTGGAGAACAAGCCCTATGAGGAGCGGCTTAAGGAGCTGGGCATGTTTAGCCTGAAGAAGAGAAGGCTGAGAGGAGATATGATAGCCATGTACAAATATGTGAGAGGAAGCCACAGGGAGGAGGGAGCAAGCTTGTTTTCTGCTTCCCTGGAGACTAGGACGGGGAACAATGGCTTCAAACTACGAGAAAGGAGATTCCATCTGAACATGAGGAAGAACTTCCTGACTGTGAGAGCCATTCAGCAGTGGAACTCTCTGCCCCGGAGTGTGGTGGAAGCTCCTTCTTTGGAAGCTTTTAAACAGAGGCTGGATGGCCATCTGTCAGGGGTGATTTGAATGCAATATTCCTGCTTCTTGGCAGAATGGGGTTGGACTGGATGGCCCATGAGGTCTCTTCCAACTCTTTGATTCTATGATTCTAGGATAAGAATTGAGAATTGAAAAGTAAACTCTGATAAGAACTGTGACAATGGTTCTTTCAAGTTAAGGAAATGTTTGCAACATTCCTTATGTTAAGAAGGAAGTCAACAAAAGCCTTGTGTTTGTCAACAACAATCAAGAAGAGTCAACATCTGGCCAGGAAACTGAGATGGATCCAGGATGGAAGAAGACTATCATCAATTTACAACTCTGGATAAACTTTAACAGGAAGCCACCCTTCTGCAGAATCCCAAGCCTTGGACTGCAAGCAAACATTTAATACATTTAATACAAAGCAAATAAAGCTGGAGCTTCTGGTACGGCCGTACCAGCACAGTGGCGATTTTCCAAAATGGTGCCCTCCACTTGCTGGATGGTGTGTTCCTCAATAGCAGAGTGGGGTCGTCCTGGAATTGGAGATGTTTCCACCGAAGTCCAACCACATTGCCAGTTCTTGACTCCATCATATGATGGGGAATCCTCACCAGAAACCTCTTTCAACTCATCGAATGTCTCCTTTGGTGTGCGGACTTTCGAGTCAATAAACTTGAGGACTGCTCTATATTCCACTCGTCCATTCTCAAACCTCACACCACTTCAGCACCTGTAACATCAAGATCATTGGGTTGTTGTAGGTTTTTTTCAGGCTGTATGGCCATGTTCTAGAGGCATTCTCTCCTGACGTTTCGCCTGCATCTATGGCAAGCATCCTCAGAGGTAGTGAGGTCTGTTGGAACTAGGAAAAAGGGTTTATATATCTGTGGAATGACCAGGGTGGGACAAAGGACTCTTGTCTGTTGAGCTAGGTGTGAATGTTTCAGCTGACCACCTTGATTAGCATATGATGGCCTGGCAGTGCCTGGGGGAATCTTTTGTTGAGAGGTGATTAGATATATAAACCCATATAACAGATATATAAACCCTTTTTCCTAGTTGCAACAGACCTCACTACCTCTGAGGATGCTTGCCATAGATGCAGGTGAAATGTCAGGAGAGAATGCTTCTAGACATGGCCATATAGCCCGAAAAAACCTACAACAACCCAGTGATTCCGGCCATGAAAGCCTTCGACAATACATCAAGATCATTATCAGTTCTGAGTTGTAAATCGGCACGTAACATATAGAGACTTATACACATGTGCAGTTTCAGCATCCTGTGATTAATAGAAGTGGATCAGGGGAAATCTTTCTTGAACGCCACTCGTACGTTGTCATTTCTTAATTTGTTCTATCAGAAAAACATGGAAAATTTTATTAGACTGAAAAAACTTTGGGATATCCTGCAACATGTTTTGTTCTAGTTTTCCAATGAATATCTCATCATAGAGTCTCAACCAATTCAACCCCGTTTGTGCCACAACAACTTTCAAAGTGAGCACAACACAATCAAACAGGGATAATAAGACTTTCAAACCAGGAACGAATTTTATTTTCAAATGTTGTGACACAGTGCTATTTTTAGTCACTTTCCCCCCTCTCCCCACATCCCTCCGTGGACTTTGCCAAAATGTGGCAATTTCCTTTGGGAGACTCCACTTCCGCCAGCCTGCCCCTCCGGACATACCTCCTCCTTTGGCGGATTTAGCCCTGGTTTCCTGAGCCGGCACAGATGCAACTCAAGGCTCATATTTTTAACTTTTTTTCCCCCTTGGCTTTTCCTGAGCTCAGTCTGGCCCTTATTTCAAATGCTTCCTCCTTGGCTTGGTCCTTGGAAACGTGTGAATGTTGGGATCTGAAGACAAATGACGAAGATGGTGCGGTGAACGTATCGCACCTGGTCACCTTTATTATTATTATTATTATTATTATTATTATTATTATTATTATTATTTGATACACAAGATTAGTACACAGCAAACAAGATCATTATGCTGACCGTTGTATTGGATCACACGTCGGATACTTCCCAAGTGTCTAGGACTGTGTGATGTGTCGGCGAATAATACGTGCAGATCCCAGTAGCGTGGCCTTTTGCAGCTGACAGATGATGATTTTCTCAGTGCCGATTGTTTTTGAGTGCAGGCCAAGGCCTTTAGGCACTGCACCCAGGCACCACCATGAGAATTGGGGGGGGGGCTGTAGCCCTCAGCCCCCCCCCCCCCCCCCGCTACATGCGTGGATCCTAGTAAGGTGGCCTTCTGCAGCTGGCAGATGGTAATTTTGTCAGTGCCAATTGTGTTTAAGTGCAGGCCAAGGTCTTTAGTCACTGCACCCAGTGTGCCGATCACTACTGGGACCACTTTGACTGACTTGTGCCAGACTCTTTGCAGTTTAAATCCTCATATCGTGTCAGATTTTCTAGTTGCTTCTTGTCAATCATTATCATCATCATTATTATTATTATTATTATTATTACATCCCACTTTTATCTCTTGATTTTACATGTTAGTCCAAGTAAACCCTTGGATCCCCTGTCCAGATGCATTACATTGCTCTCTCACCCAGTGTTTTTAAATTTTTAATCTCTGCAACTAGCCCTGCCCACTGTGATCAACTTTCTGTGTTCAAATATTGTGATTCTGTATTGTTCTGATGTGCTTATTTATACTGTTTCTTGTATTTTGTCTTACTTTCTTATATTTTATTGTTGTATTTTTATGTTGTATACTTGCACTGTTGTATAGCTGGCCTCATGTAAGCCACCCCAAGTCCCCTTGGGGAGATGGTGGCAGGGTATAAATAAGGTATTATTATTATTATTAATATTATTATTATTATTATTATTATTATTATTATTATTATTATTGGGAAGCAATATCCTGAAGATCTGGTGGGTATCTCGATGCAAGTGAACCAAGCTGCATTCATGTTTACAAGGGAAATCAAACCTTTCTGGTTTTACTCTTTTGCTTTTTTGGGTGAGGTTCCTTCATGACCACAAATATTTCTGACAGTCAAATATGTGGGTAAGAGTTCAGGAGAGAATGCTTCTGGAACATGGTCATATGGCTGGAAAACTCACAGCAACCCATGAAAGCCCTCGACAACACAAAAAGAGTGTTCTTGATGCTCAGGCGTAAGTCAAAGGGCTAAGAAGGGTTTGTTGTTGTTGTTGTTGTTGTTGTTGTTGTTGTTTTTTGAGGGGAGGGGCATTAAGGTTACCTATCCGATCGCATCTCTGCCTATGAACCCACTAGGACTTTGAGATCTTTCGGGGAGGCCCTGCTCTCGATCCCGCCTGCAACACAGGCTCAGTTGGCGGGGACGAGAGACAGGGCCTTCTCGGTGGTGGCCCCTCGGCTGTGGAGCGCCCTTCCCACGGACATTAGATCGGCTCCATCGCTAATGGTATTTCGGAGAAAAGTGAAAACCTGGTTATTTGAACAGGCGTTTGAATAGGCAGTGCAATGAATATAGGAACGGAACAACGGATGACGAGTTGGATCATGTTTTCAGTTATGAGACGCCAGTGAATGGTTATTGTCGTTAATTGATTAGTCTGTTATTGTGTTAATTGTTTTTAATATCTTGTTGTTGTCGCATTGAATTTTTGCTGCTACTATTGTTAACCGCTGTGAGTCGCCTAAGGGCTGAGAACAGCGGTATACAAATAAAGTAAATAAATAAATAAATAAGGTCCATTCCTTTCCTACCTTGATGAAACAAGTGAATTTATCTGACCCTTTGCCACTTTTCGTTGCTTTCCAGGAATCCCAGAGGACTCCAAAGTCGAAGCCCCTGCCTTCACAGATGCCGTCCGCATGTATCGCCAATCAAAGGAACAGTACGGCACTTGGGACATGCTCTGTGGCAACGAGACACAGGTGAATCTGGAAGGGGAGCCGTCCTTTCTTTCTTTTTCAAACTCTGGCGCATAAACACAATCTATAAATCTACAAATAGGTTAATACCATTGCAAATCATACGACGCACGGTATTTAATCTGTTTTCCAGAATTGACATCTAATTCAACCAAGTGCATTCTTCCACAACAAGAGCATGATTGCTTAAGGCTTGGTCTGTGGGCGGATTTCACTATACTGTCAGTGGCATCGGCAGCACAGCAAGGCAGGAACAGATCAATCACAACCACCTTAGGCTATAAACTACTTTATTTTACAGCTATATACATTAGAAGCTACTTAACACTCAGCACATCGTAAACTTGCTTCTTTCCCGTCCTATCGTAACATTGCTCACTAACTGTTATCAGTACTAGTCCACACCTCTTGCATTCCAAAGTGACATACGACGTATGATGCGCAACACTGCATCCATTTGTTCTATACACTTGATTTATGACCTCTCTAGGAATGCTGTTCCCTCCATTGTTCACTTGATTTATGACCTCTCTAGGAATGCTGTTCCCTCCATTGTTCAGTCAACTCTTTCCACTCAGGAATACATTACACTCGGCACATAGCCAATGCATTTTAAACATGCATACATACATACTTTGAAATCCACATTATAAATTGCAAAAAAAAGCTTCAACATATACAACTCAGTTTCTTGGGTAGATCGAGTGAAGACGAAAAGAGCCATGCAGGCTGCATTGCAGGATAAACTCACAGGAAAAGCATTTCTCTTCTCCTTCCAGGTTTTGTGCAACTTGGTGATGGAGGAACTCCTTCCTGAGCTCAAGAATATGATTGGCCCTCGACTGAAGGGCAAAGCCCAGGAGAGGCATCGAGTGTGGATCCAGGTGAGCAGCCTTTCCAATGCTCCTCTGAATATGTTTATGGATAAATTGTCCACATCTGGACCTACGTAGATAGACACTACTGGAATAAGACCAATTTTCTTCTGGCTACCTCTTCCAACTCTATGGTTCTATGATTCTATTTTGTTTTGTCTGATTTGAGGGAACATATTTCCAGGTGTCCCTCAGTCATCCAGTGCACCTTTTTAGGAATGTAGAAGTCCTCTCATTTGACTCAACGGTCAACCTCTGATGGAAGTTGACCAGTGTCACATAGGAGGGTATAACGATCCAAACCGCTGTACCAAATATAACAATCACAGCAGCCGAGTGGTAGTAGAGATTTTAAAATTGGTTTATCAGGTGGGAAAATATAGAAAAAAATAATCCCAACTCCACACTGCTCAGCCAAATTATAACGAGGCACACCTCCACTACTGGCTAGCTCCCCAAAATATAGAGGGAGTATGGTTGTTGATAAACAAGCTGTATATTTAAAAGTTAGGAACTGGGAACTACTGGGACTGAGAGACTTGAAATGATTCTTCAAAAGATTTCTGCTGCCACCATATTAACAAAAAATAGGCTGAGGTATTCTTGAGAGGTTGTTCAGTAACTCACTCTGTAATACTATAGTGTTCTTAGAGACTGCTGAAAGCTGAATAGGAATAATGCTTTGACCACAAAGGTATTCACACAGAGGCTTATGTAAGTTGATAAAAATAACAAGAACGTTTATTGAACAGACTTGAATATTTCAGGTACAAATGCGTATTGGTTTCAGTAAAATACTAGTACAAGAAGCTTGTGGTTACGTTTGAGCAAAGATCTTAAAAAGTCCTGGGTTTCAAGTCTTAAAAGTTACAACACATAAAAGTTACAACACATTACTTCAGGAAATGAATCTCTGAAAGTAACTCCCAAAATCCCCCTTAGGAATCTAGCCAAACACCTGACCTAGCTTTCCTTAAGGAAAGAACAGACCACTAAAGGGTGCTGCTCCACACAGTATTCTAGCTATATTTCTCTATAGCTATTCCTGAATACTCTACAAAAGACTGTCCCCAAACTGTTTCTTCAAAAAGCCAAACTGCTCTTGCCAAGGTAAGGGATTCATTACGGAGGGCCTACAGATTTCGAGATTCCTAGGGAGGCCAGGTGTATTCCAGGTGGGGCCTGACCAAAGCAGAAAAGAGTGAGTGGGACGCTGAGCTCTTCCAACAATACTTCCAACAAGAGTTCTCTCCCTGCCTAAATCCTAAACTTCTCTGCCTCTTTTTGGTAGGTCTCCGATGCTGTGTACAAGATGATCTATGATCAGACGAAGGCTCGTTACGACGCGATGGTGACCACGTGCGAGCTTCAGGTCCCCAAGCTGAAGGGCACCATCCGCACAGACATGGATCAGATTATCCAGTCCAAAGAGCACTTGGCCAGCAAAATCAGAGGTAGGTAACTGGGCACCATCTTTGCATTGCGTGGCCCCATACTCAGTAAAACAAAATTAAAATGCCATTCCCAATATGCATTCTGTATCCTCCTCTCGGTTCCACCTCCATTTCAAGTGCAGTTGGTGAGGATGAGAGAGAAGGCCTTCTCGGTGGTTGCCCCTCGGCTTTTGAACACCTTCGCCAGAGAAATTAGGCTTGCCCCCACACAGAAAAACCTGAAAACATGGCTCTTCAAGCAGGCCTTCAAATATGGTTAAAACATTAGTTAGAGCAAATTGTCTGACTTCTACACTTTATGTGGCTGAAATTAATACAGCCTATTTTAATCTGTAGCTATTGCTGCATTTTAGTATTTTATTTAAACTCGGGGTTTTATATACTTTTTTACACATATATTTTATGTAAATTAACACCGTTATATGTATCTTACAGTACTTTGTGTATTTTGTGGCACTACTACGTGTTTTTATAAGACTCCCCCCCCCCTCCCTGAGTCCGTTTCGGGAGGTGGTGGCGGGATATAAATAAAGATTCATCATCATCATCATCATCATGAGGTTCTGAGAGTATGGGTTGAAACTTTATACCAACCACTGATACCTGTCCACCTGTTTCAGTCTTAACATTGTTGTTGTTTCCTCCCGCCCAGCATCTGTCTTCTCCAAAGCTGAGATCTGTGTCCGGAACCACGTCCAACCTTACATCGCTTCCATCCTAGAGGCCCTGATGATCCCCACCAGCCAGGGCTTTGCTGAGGTCCGAGAAGTCTTCTTCAAAGAGGTCACTGACATGAACTTAAACATTGTCAATGAAGGAGGAACGGAGAAGCTGGGGGAGGTAAGATGGAGGAGATGGTAATGGGCGAGGGAAGGAAAAGGTAGCCCATATTGACTCGAATGCTCACTTTTTTGGGCTAAATAACCTTTCCAAAAGGGGTCAGACTACATGACCTTCAATGGCCAGGGCTTCCCAGTTCTCGGTGTCAATGCCACATTAGACATTAGAAAATGTTGACCATTTCCGCGACCTTGACAGCCACCTCTCCACAAAAGTCAACACTGACACTGAAATACAACACTGCCCGAGCTCTGCAAGTGCAGCTTTTTTCCAAATGAAGCAGAGAGTGTTTGAGGACCGGGACATCCGTAGGGATATCAAGATGCTTGTTTATAAAGCTATTGTCCTCCCAACCCTGTGATATGCCTGCGAAATGCGGACTGTCTACAGGCGTCACATGCAACTCCTGGAACAATTCCATCAGTGCTGCCTCCGGAAAATCCTGCAAATCTCTTGGGAAGACAAGCGGACAAATGTCAGTGTGATGGAAGAAGCAAAGACCACCAGCATTGAAGTGATGGTCCTCCGCCATCAACTCCGCTAGACTGGTCATGTTGTCCGGATGCCCGACCACCATCTCCCAAAGCAGTTGCTCTACTCCGAACTCAAGAACAGAATACGGAATGTTGGTGGGCAGGAAAAGAGATTTAAAGATGGGCTCAAAGCCAACCTTAAAATCTTTGGCATATACACTTAGAACTGGGAAGCCCTGGCCCTTGAGCCCTCCAGCTGGAGGTCAGCTGTGACCAGCAGTGCTGTAGAATTTGAATAGGCACGAATGGAAGGCGAAAAAGAGAAACGTGCCAAGAGGAAGGCGCGTCAAGCAAACGCCAACCGGGACCACTTTCCACCTGGAAACCGATGCCCTCACTGTGGGAGAAGATGCAGATCAAGAATAAGGCTCCACAGTCACGTATGGATCCACTGCCAAGATACTACACTTGGAGGACCATAATCCTCAGACTACGAGGGATCGCCTAAGTAAGCCACAGTTTTTAAGGTTGGCTTTAAGCCTGTCTTTAAATCTCTTTTCATGTCCACCAACATTCCGCTTTCTATCCTTGAGTTGGGAGTAGAGTAATTGCTTTGGGAGATGGTGACTGGCCATTCGGACGACATGGCCAATCCTCGGAGGAGTATTGCATCAATGCTGGTGGTCTTTGCTTCTTCCAGCATGCTGTCATTTGTCCACCTGTCTTCCCAAGAGATTTGTAGGATTTTTTGGAGGCACTGCTGATGGAATTGCTCCAGGAGTTAAGTGTGATGTCTGTAGACATACAACCCATGTTTTCCAGGTGTAGAACAAGGTTGGGAGGACAGTAGCTTTATAAACAAGCACCTTGGTCTCCCTATGGATGTCCTGATCCTCAAACATTCTTTGCTTCATTCAGAAAAATGCTGCACTCACAGAGCTCAGGCGGTGTTGTATTTCAGTGTCAATGTTGACTTTTGTGGAGAGGTGGCTGCCAAGGGAGCGGAAATGACCAACATTTTCTAATGTTACACCATTAAGTTGTATTTCTGGCATTGGAGAGGGATTGACTGGTGACTGCTGGAAGAGCCCTTTGGTTTTCTCAATGTTCAATGAGAGACTGAGCTTCTTGTATGCTTCTGAAAAGGTGTTTAGAGTGGCTTGTAGGTCTTCTTCTGAATGTGCACAGACTACGTTATCATTGGCATATTGGAATTCTGTAACAGATGTTGTTGTGCCCTTGGTTAATAAATTGATTGATTGATACAGCAACACCTTGGTTGAATGGTATGTCCAGCGGAGCTGTGTGTGCCATGCCACGAGCTCCAACCTCTAAAAATCCACAAAACAGCAATACCTTTGTGAGATTGTACTCCTTGGAAGGTGGAGATTGGTCTCGTTCAAGACTCTTGGATACATATATATCTATACACTGGTTAGTGTGCAATGGGGCTTATCCTGTCTGACTTCTCTTTTTCTGTCTCCTCCTTTCCTCCCCAAAAGTACATGGCGAAACTTTCGCAGCTGGCTTTCCACCCAGTGAAGATGCAACCCTGCTATGAGAAGATGGACCAGCTGAAATTAGAAGGGCTGCAGCAGAGGTTTGATGTGTCCAGCGCTTCGGTGTTCAAGCAAAGGGCCCAGATCCTGATGAGACAGGTAAGCAAGCAACAAAACCTTGTCCAAGTATGGAACAGGTGGCCCTCCACATATCATCCATATCCAAGTTTCTGGAGCATAATAACTACTTTCAAAGTAAGGACCACTACATGTCCTTTGACCAGAAGCTGTCCACCTGGAGTGCCTCTGGTGTCGCTGTGAGAAAGTCCTCCATTGTACATGTGGCAGGGCTCAAACCGCATTGTAGTCAGTGGTCTGTGGTTTGCTCTTCTCCACACTTGCATGTCATTGATTACACTTTGTAGCCCCATTTCTTAAGGTTGGCTCTGCATTTCGTGGTGCCAGAGCGCAGTCTGTTCTGTGCCTTCCAAGTCGCCCAGTCTTCTGTGTGCGCAGAAGGGAGTCTCTCATCTGGGCTCAGCCACTGATTGAAGATTTGGGTTTTAGCCTGCCACTTTTGGACTCTCGCTTGCTGAGGTGTTCCTGGAAGTCTCTCTGTAGATCCTAGGAAGCTGTTTCTTGACTGATGTCGTTGACATGCTGGCTGATATTCAAATAGAGGATAGGCCAGAGATATCAATGTCTTGGTCCTTTCATTACAGGCTGCTACTTCCCAACAGAAGCCAGGTGGTGCGATACCGCCTGACAGTGTAATTTCTCCAGCGGTATAGGGCGTAGACATCCTGTGATAGTGCGGCATGTCTCCTTAAGAGTCCCATCCACTGTTTTAACATGGTGAGATGCCATGCCACACTGGGCATGCATATTCAGCAGCTTACTTTTACTTAGGCGATCCCTCGTTGGACGAGTAAGATGGTCTTCCTTGATTACTATTTTTGTGGGTTTGTAGGTGGCTGTGGAGCCCTATTCTTGACCCACATCTTCTCCCACAGTGAAGGCATTGGTTTCCAGGTGGAAGGCGGTCCCAGTCGGGGTTGGCTTGACGCGCTTTCCTCCTGGCACGTTTCTCTCTTTCACCCTCCACTCGTGCCTCCTCGAATTCTGCAGCACTGCTGGTCACAGCTGACCTCCAGCTGGAGTGGTCAAGGGCCAGGGCTTCCCAGTTCTCAGTGTCTACGCCAGAGTTTTTAAGGTTGGCTTTGAGGCCATCTTTCAATCCCTTTTCCTGCCCACCAACATTCCGTTTTCCGTTCTTAAGTTCAGAGTAGAGCAACTGCTTTGGGAGACGGTGGTCAGGCATCCGGACAACGTGGCCGGTCCAGCGGAGTTGATGGCAGAGGACCATCGCTTCAATGCTGGTGGTCTTTGTTTCTTCCAGCACGCTGACGTTTGTCCGCTTGTCTTCCCAAGAGATTTGCAGGATTTTCCGGAGGCAGCGCTGATGGAATCCTTCCAGGAGTTGCATGTGACGTCTGTAGACAGTCCACGTTTCGCAGGCATAGAGCAGGGTTAGGAGGACAATAGCTTTATAGACAAGCACCTTGGTATCCCTACGGCAACAGAGAAGCAAAGCAACGGGGCAGATGTCTTCACTGTGTCTGGTTGTGATCCCGAGGTTGTACCAGTCAGCTTTTGTATGATATTATTTCTAGCACCCACTTTTGGCTTGATATTCAAGCAATGCTTCTTATAAGTGAGAGCATGGTTTTTAAGCAACTTTTAATGTGAATATAAGTGATATTTTGTTTGTATATATTTATGGTTTTATGTCCCGGCATTCAATGTTTGTCATATACATGTTGTGCTCTGCGTGGGTCTCCTGCAAGGTGAGAAGGGTGGAATATAAAAGTTTTAAATAAATACATACATACATACATACATAATGGTCCAGGGTCACTCCCAGGTATTTGGATGTGCTGCAATGCTCCAGTGGGATGGCTTCCCAAGTCATACTCAGAGCTCGAGATGCTTGTCTGTTCTTAAGATGGAAAGCACGTCATAATAAATATAATAAAGCAAAAGAAAGCAAACCAAGAAGAAGAAAATGTCCTCAAAATTGAAGTAGTAGCAGCACCCTCTAGCGCTGGGAGAGCATTTGTGCACGTTCTATGTAAAGCCTATTCTTTGCGTTGCATATTCTCTTCCCTCTGTTCTTTGGTGGGTTGAATCCGCAAAGTGTGTGAACACTCGGTTGGAGCAGAAGACGGAGTCGAAGAGGCTGCTGAACCAAATCACACTATGTAACACAATCTGTGTTCCTGGGTTATAAATGCCATTTCCTAATTGATTCTATCACAAAAAATACATGGGAAAAGTTTATTAAACTGTCAAAACTTCGACAGGAACACCCAGCAATAGCACATTTTGCTCTAGTTTTTCAATGAATATCTCATCATAGAGTCTCAACCAATTCAACATAGTTAGTATTGCATCCTGTGCACAGTTCCCCTCTTGGCATTAGAATAATTTGTTTGTTTGTTTACTATATGTATACCCCGCTTTCTCTCCCTGCAAGGGGCACTCAGATTGGTTTACAACATGGCAATATTCAATTTATTTATTATTTACTTATTTACAGCTTTTATATTCCGCCCTTCTCACCCCGCAGGGGACTCAGGGCAGATTACAGTGTACACATATATGGCAAACATTCAATGCCAATTTTTGACATACAAACATATACAGACATACACAGAGGCTATTTAACTTTTTTCCTGTCGCTTTTATTGTCCATCTGCGACGCTGATGAAGCACTTCCGCATTCCCCGCATGCTTCCCCGCTGGAATGCTTTGCTGGAGTCTTCTTTATGGCCTCAGTTAATTTAGCCTCCCCACACTTTTTAAGGTGGTACCTTATTTTCCTACTTGGCAGATGCAACTGTCTTTCGGGTTGCAAAGGTCAACAACAGGCTACACACAATTGGTTGGAAACCCACTCCAACCCGGGCTGGCTTCGAACTCATGACCTTTTGGTCAGAGTGATCAGAGTGATCTTAATGCAGCTGACACTCAGCCAGTTGCGCCACAATCCCAGTGCAGTGCCACATATTATTTACTTAGACAATCCCTTGTAGCTTGAGGATGATTGTATTCCAGATGTGGTGTCCGTAGGTGACTGTGGAGCCCTATTCTTGATCTGCATGTTCTCCCGCATGTTTTCCTGATTCCAGACAGAAGGTGGTCCTGGTCAGGGTTGGCTTGATATGCTTCTCTCTTGGCACGTTTCTCCCTTCACTCTCCATTCGTGCCTTTTTGAATAATGCAGCACTGCTGGTCACAGCTGACCTCCACTTAGAGCACTCAAGGGCCAAGGCTTCCCAGTTCTCAGTGTCTATGCCAGAGATTTTAAGGTTGGCTTTGAGTCCATCTTTAAATCTCTTTTTCTGTCCACCAACATTACGTTTTCCGCTCTTGAATACAGAGTAGAGTAACTGCTTTGGGAGACAGTGCCACATATACAATCAGATAGAAAGCAATACATCTTATACAAAAAATGCAATAAAAACATATAAACAACCATCAAATGAATTAAAAGCCATGATACCAAACTCAAGGGTCATTTTCGTTGATACAGTTTTGCCAATTCTCTGTTGCACCACCCAATGGCAATCCAAACGTCTCATTCGATAACTAGGTTTTCACTCTAAAGTCTAGGAGGGAAGGGGCCAAACTGATATCCCTGGGGAGGGAGTTCCATAGCTGAGGGGCCACCACTGAGAAGGCCCCACCAGTCGCACTTGTGATGGGGACCGAGAGCAGTGCCTCCCCCGTGGATCTTAACTCTCTAACCAGTTCATAGAGTGATATATGTTTGGAGCCATTCTGAGCTTTATAGGCTAATGCCAGCACTCTGAATTGTGCTCCGTAGCAGACCAGCAGCCAGTGGAGCTGACGTAACAGGGGAGTTGTATTCTCTATGTGTGTTTTTGTTTGTTTCTGTCTTCTCACGGTGCAGCAAATGGATGACACCATCTACACCTTTGAGACACTCCTTCATCAGGAGCTGGGGAAGTCACTCAGCAAAGACGAGTTGTGCAAAACCATCCAACGCATCCTGGAGCGTGTGCTCAAGGTAGGGCTGCTTTGCTGGAACCAGTTGCCAAATTGGGGCCCCACTAAGCTACCTAGTATATTTCCCTGTGTAGTGTAGGCGTCTCTCTGGAGAAATAACATGCACTAGAACCAGCCTCGCTGTCAACACAGGGTAAAATAATAATAATAATAATAATAATAATAATAATAATAATAATAATTGCAAAGCAAGTAAAGGTGATCCCAGAGGTGATCGGCACAGTGTATGTGTCCCTCTGGAGAAATAACATGCTCTAGAACCATCCTCGCTGTCAACACAGGGTAATATAATAATAATAATAATAATAATAATAATAATAATAATAATAATTGCAAAGACTCTGGCACAAGCCAGTAAAGGAGGTCCCAGAGGTGATCGGCACAGTGTATGTGCCCCTCTGGAGAAATGACATGTACCAGAACCATCCCCACTGTCAACACAGGGTAATATAATAATAATAATAATAATAATAATAATAATAATAATAATAATGGGTTGTTGTAGGTTTTTTCGGGCTATATGGCCATGGTCTAGAGGCATTCTCTCCTGACGTTTCGCCTGCATCTATGGCAAGCATCCTTAAAGGTAGTGAGGTCTGTTGGAACTAGGAAAAAGAGTTTATATATCTGTGGAATGACCAGGATGGGACAAAGGACTCTTGTCTGCTGGAGCTAGGTGTGAATAATAATATCAAATGCAAAGACTCTGGCACAAGCCAGTAAAGGTGGTCCCAGAGGTGATCGGCACAGTGTATGTGCCCCTCTGGAGAAATAACATGCACCAGAACCATCCTCGCTGTCAACACAGGGTAATATAATAATAATAATAATAATAATAATAATAATAATAATAATTGCAAAGACTGTGGCACAAGACAGTAAAGGTGGTCCCAGTGGTGATCGGCACACTGGGCGCAGTGCCTAAAGACCTTGGCCTGCCCTTAAACACAATTGGCGCTGACAAGATTACCATCTCGTAGCTGCAGAAGGCTACCTTACTGGGATCTGGATGCATTATTTGCCGATACATCACACAGTCCTAGACACTTGGGAAGTGTCCGACATGTGATCCAATACAACAGCCAGCAGAGTGTCTGCTGTGGACTCATCTTGTTGGGTTTCTAATAATAATAATAATAATAATAATAATAATAATAATAATAATAGGACAAGGGAATGGGATAAGTGCAGAGCTCTAACAATGGAATGAGAGCATGAGATGAAGTGTGTATCAATTGTGCAGGACAACTAGGGACTAGGTGTTCTCAAAAGCTTGTTGGAAGAGCCAGGTCTTCAGGTTCCTACAGAAGGAGGACAGTGTGGATGCTAGCCTAATAAACCTGGGGGGGGGGGGGGTGTTCTGAAGTCAGAGGGCCACCACCAAGAAGGTTCTCTCCCTTGTTCCCACCAACTGTGCTTTGACGGTGGTGGGACCAAGAGGAGGGCCTTCTTGGCAGATCTTCGAGCCCACCTTGGTTCATAGGGGGAGATGCTGTCACAAAGATAGACTGGACTTGAACCATTTTACATTACAGAGTATAGGCTGTTCCTTATAGTTTTCATTCTGGATTTTCTTATCCCTCTTTACCCCCTTGATAATGTAATATTTCTTCCTTTGTTTCCTCCTTTCTCGCCAGAAATACGACTACGACAGCAGCACGGTGAGGAAGAAGTTCTTCCGGGAGGCCCTCCTGCAGATCACGATTCCCTTCTTGCTGAAGAAACTGGCTCCCACCTGCAAAGGGGTAAGCAAGGGAGAGACCCCCAAAGGTTGAAAATTATCACATTCTTGGCCCATAACTCCCAGAATCTTCCAATGGCTGGAAGACTCTGAGAGTTGTAAGAAGAAGTCATCTATTGGGTTCAAAATGGCCTGGAAGGACCAAAACATGGCAAGGAAATGTCTCATACATCTCCTAGAGCAGTGATTCCCAACCCTTTTTTTGACCAGGGACCACCAAAAGGGTTATGAATCAGTTTGTGATCAACTTTAGATTCAGATTGGTTATTTACAGTAGAATCATAGAGTTGGAAGAGACCTCATGGGCCATCCAGTCCAACCCCATTCTGCCAAGAAGCAGGAAAATCGTATTCAAAGCACCCCGACAGATGGCCATCCAGCCTCTGTTTAAAAGCTTCCAAAGAAGGAGCCTCCGCCACACTCCAGGGCAGAGAGTTCCACTGCTGAACGGCTCTCACAGTCAGTAAGTTTGTTTGTTTGTTTGTTTACAAACAAACCGTCCTGGTCCTGTCCAACATCTTTATTAATGACTTAGATGAAGGGCTAGAAGGCAGAATCATCAAGTTTGCAGACGACACCAAATTGGGAGGGATAGCCAATAGTCCAGAGGACAGGAGCAGGATTCAAAACGATCTTGACAGATTAGAGAGATGAATGGCCAAAACTAACAAAATGAAGTTCAACGGGGACAAATGCAAGATACTCCACTTTGGCAGGAAAATAGAAATGTAAAGATACAGAATGGAGGACAATGGCTGGCTCGAGAGCAGGACCTGTGAAAAAGATCTTTGAGTCCTCATGAACAGCCACCAATGTGATGTGGTGGCAAAAAAAGCCAATGGGATTTTGTCCTGCATCAATAGAAGCATAGTGTCTAGGTCCAGGGAAGTTATGCTACCCCTCTATTCCGCTTTGGTTAGACCACACCTGGAATATTGTGTCCAGTTCTGGGCACCACAATTCAAGAGAGATATTGACAAGCTGGAATGTGTCCAGAGGAGGGCGACTAAAATGATCAAGGGTCTGGAGAACAAGCCCTATGAGGAGCAGCTTAAGGAGCTGGGCATGTTTAGCCTGAAGAAGAGAAGGCTGAGAGGAGAGATGATAGCCATGTATAAATATGTGAGAGGAAGTCACAGGGAGGAGGGAGCAAGCTTGTTTTCTGCTTCCCTGGAGACTAGGACACAGAACTATGGCTTCAAACTACAAGAGAGGAGATTCCATCTGAACATGAGGAAGAACTTCCTGACTGTGAGAGCCGTTCAGCAGTGGAACTCTCTGCCCCGGAGTGTGGTGGAGGCTCCTTCTTTGGAAGCTTTTAAACAGAGGCTGGATGGCCATCTGTCAGGGGTGATTTGAATGCAATATTCCTGCTTCTTGGCGGAAAGGGGTTGGACTGAATGGCCCATGAGGTCTCTTCCAACTCTGTGATTCTATGATTCTATGATTATTTCTATCCTGCCCATATCAGCCTGAAGGCGACTCAGAGCGGCATACAAAGTTGGCACAATTCGATGCCATATAAAATACATACATTGATAAAAAGCAAAAAAGAAACATTACAGTATATTTAGAACATAAAAATAATAAATAATTAAAAATTAAAAACTCTGTCCTCGCATTCAAATCCTCATCCGTTCCATCGTCTTGGCCGTTCCTGGGTCATTTTCCGATTCAAGTTTGTCTGTTTATTCTAAAGTTCCAAATGCCAAGTTTTCAGTCTTTTTAGAAAGGTCAGGAGAGAGGGGGCTGATCTAATATCCCTAGGCAGGGAGTTCCACAGCCGAGGGGCCACCACAGAGAAGGCCCTATCTCTCATCCCTACCAAACGTGCTTGCGAAGCAGGCGGGATCGAGAGCAGGGCCTCCTCGGACGATCTCAAGTTCCTAGTGGGTTTGTAGGAAGAGATGCGTTCGGATAGGTAAGAACCGTTTAGGGCTTTATAGGCTAAAGCCAGCACTTTGAATTGTGCCCGGTAGCAAACTGGCAGCCAGTGGAGCTGGTGCAAGAGAGGAGTAGTATACTCCCTGAGCGCCACTCTTGTCAGCAACCTGGCTGCCACACGCTGGACCATTTGCAGCTTCCGAACTGTTTTCAAAGGCAACCCCACGTAGAGCGCATTGCAGTAATGTATACGGGATGTAACCAGAGTGTGGACTACCGTGGCCAAGTCAGACTTCCCAAGGTACGGGCACAGCTGGCGCATTCGGAAAAACCTTCCCAATGTTCAGATGGAATCTCCTTTCTTGTAGTTTGAAGCCATTGCTCCCTTGCGTCCTAGTCTCCAGGGCAACAAAAAACAAGTTCACTTCCTCCTCCTTATGACTTCCTCTCACATATTTATACATGACTGTCATGTCTCCTCTCATCCTTCTCTTATTCAGGTTAAACATGCCCAGCTCTTTAAGCCGCTCCTCATAGGGCTTGTTCTCCAGACCCTTGATCATTTTAGTCGCCCTCCTCTGGACACATTCCAACTTGTCAACATCTCTCTTCAATTGTGATGTCCAGAATTGGACACAATATTCCAGCTGTGGTCTAACCAAGGCATTTGGGGTGCTCACCCACAAAAAACTATATTTAATAAGACTCAGCACTATAAGAGGGTTTCGTGAGACTAGTTGCTGTCATCATGATTGTGTTTACTGGAATGTTACTTTGTTACTGTGTTTATACTTTTTTTTCCTATGTAATTTTGATGATGTTGCTTGTTGTTTATGTTCTGGTTTTATTTTGCTGTAACATGTTGTCCGTGCCCCATGTAAGCTCCTCCGAGTCCGCATTGAGGAGATGGTGGTGGGGTATAAATAAAGAGTATTATTATTATTATTATTATTATTATTATTATTATTATTATTATTGCAATGGTGTAGTAACGATGAGGCAGTGGGCCATATTTTAGTTCTTGCGGACCACTGGTAGTCTACAGACCACAGGTTGGAAACCACTGTCCCAGAGGATTATTTAGGGACCATTTTTTCATGCCTGCCCCTTGTAATCCTTGGCTTTTTACTGACACCTTTTCTCCCAACAGGATCTGGGAAGATTCCAGGAGCTGATATTTGAGGACTTTGCCCGCTTCATCCTGGTGGAGAACACCTACGAAGAGGTGGTGCTCCAGTCTGTCATGAAGGACATTATGATGGGTGAGAAGGAAGTCCCTTTTTGCTGTTTGGCCCAATTCTATCGTTGGTGGGCTTCAGAATGCTCTGTGATTGTAGCTGAACTATAAATCCCAGCAACTACAACTCCCAAATGTCAAGATTCTATTTTCCCCAAACTCCACCAGTGTTCACATTTGGGCATATTGAGTATTCTTGTGGAGTTTGGTCCAGATCCATCATTGTTTGAGTCCACAGTGATCTCTGGATGTAGGTGAACTACAACTCCAAAACCAAAGGACACAACCCACCAAACCCAGTATTTTCTGTTGGTCATGGGAGAACTGTGTGCCAGGTTTGGTTCAATTCCATCGTTGGTAGGGTTCAGAATGTTCTTTGATTGTAGGTGAACTATAAATCCCAGCAACTACAACTCCCAAGTGACAAAATAATTTTTTTTGAGTGAAGGACATACATTGGGTTGTTAGGTGTCTTGTGTCCAAATTTGGTGTCAATTCGTCCAGTGGTTTTTGAGTTCTGTTAATCCCACAAACTAACATTACATTTTTATTTATATAGACTAGCTGTACCTGCTACGCGTTGCTGTGGCCAACCTTGCCTCCTTCTTTCTCTCCTTCCTTCTCTCCCTCTTCTCTCCCCTCCTTTTCTTTCCCTTCTTCTTTCTTCCCTCTCTACCTGTTTCTTTTCTCACTTTCTTTGCTCTTTGATTCCATGATTCCTTGTCTCTTTCCTTCTTTCCTCCCCCCTTTCTTTCGTTCCTCCTCTCCTTCCTTCCCTCTTTCACTTTTTTATTTCATTCTCTTCCTCCTTCTCTCCTTCCTTCCTTCTCTACCCTTCTTTCCCTCCTTCCCTCCTTCTTTCCCTCTTTCTCTCCTTCCTTCCTTCTCTACCTTTCTTTCTTTCCTTCTCTCCTTCCCTCCTTCTCTCCTTCCTTCCTTCTCTACTCTTCCTTCCTTCCTTCCTTCCTTCCTTCCTTTCTTCCTTCTCTCCTTCCCTCTTTCTCTCCTGCCTTCCTTCTCTACCCTTCTTTCTTTCCTTCTTTCTCTTCTTCCCGCCTTCTTTCCCTTCTCTCCCTTCTTCTCTCCTTCCCTCCTTCTCTACCCTTTTCTTTCTTACCTTATCTCCTTCCCTTCTTCTCTCCTTCCTTCCTTCCTTCCTTCCTTCCTTCCTTCCTTCCTTCCTTCCTTCCTTCCATGTATATGTTTTGTGTGTATATATGCATATATGTGTGTGTATATGTGTGTTTGTGTATATATATGTGGTTTTGCACGTTCGTTGTAATGTATTTTTTTTTTTGCTTTTTGTGTCCCTTCTGCTGTGTTTTTCAGTGTTTTTATGCGTGAGGGTCACTTGTTGGCCTGATAGGTGTCTTGTGTCCAAATCTGGTGTCAATTCGTCCAGTGGTTTTTGAGTTATGTTAATCCCACAAATGAACATTACATTTTTATTTATATAGATTATTATTATTATTATTATTATTATTATTATTATTATTATTAAGCGAGGGAACACTATTTATTTTATTCATTTCAGCTGTGAAGGAGGCAGCCGTGCAGCGGAAGCACAACCTGTATCGTGACAGCATTGTGATGCACAACAGCGACCCCAACCTGCATTTGCTAGGGGAGGATGCGCCCATCAATTGGGGGGAAGAATTCGGTGAGGCCGATTCGGACCTGTCGGACGAGAAGCAACGCCGGGCCAAGCAAGTGGTGTCCGTCATCCACACGGATGAAGGGAGCCTGCCTTATGATGTCACCTCCTTGGAGAGGTCACCGGATGCACCAGAGCCGGAGGAATTGGAAACCAGCCCGACCCCAGGCTCCCCCAACAGCCTGAAGGAGCTGCGTACGATGTTGGTGAAGGAGTTCCAAGTGGAGTCTCCCGTCGCTGTTGCTGGGAAAGCTGAGGAACAGCTAAGCAATGGCACCGTTGTCCAAGACAGCAAGGTTGTTGCGGAGCCGAGGGAAAAGGAGGAGGAGAAACCAGGTGAAGCTGAGCAAGTGACCGGTGACCATCTCCCGGAAGGTTCTTCTGAACGTCAAGGAAATAAACCAGAAGACACAGACACCACATCTGAAGCTGAACCACCTTCCCGAGAAGAGCACCTTGAACCGGGTGACAAGGAAACAGGAGAAGTGGCTGCTTTGGTCCAGGAGGTCAAAGCCGAGCCATCCTCGGAAAACAGCCCCGGGGTCACAGACAACAGTGAGGGGGTACAGACTCAATTCTAGGAATAGTGACCCTCACTTGCTTACGAGAGAGGTTTTCTCTTGACTACCTAAACACCAAGAGGCTGACACTGCAAAATAGGGGGCGGGGAGGTGAGGGAGGTAAGTGCCCGTAGATTGGTCCCATAACACCCTTCCTTTGTATGCACTGGGTCCCTTCGGAGGACATTGCCTCCTTGTTGGATTGGAGAAAGGACGGAGAGAAGCATCTGCCTCTTGGAAGCAGGGTTGAACTTTCTAGGCCTTTGGAGCCACGACTTGAGTCGCTCCCCCAGCCCTTGTCCTTTGCACCTTTTCTCAGTCTGTCTTTCACAATGGGAGGGTGGTGGGTTTGGGTGTTGGTTCTCCCGTTTTGTTTTTTACTGGAGAGACACTTTATCTGGGATGCTAAGAAATGGAGCACCGGAACAAAGGATGACAGCTGGAATTCTTTCCCCACATCTGTTCTGAGATAACTTCTGGTCCCCCAATTTGTTTATTGAAGCTCTCTAGGTGCCTTCACCCAACTTCGTTCCTCCAGTAGATGTGAAAATTTGATTCTTTTCCATCTCAGTTTAACTATTACAGGTTGGCTGATGTCATCCTGGTCTACCTTTACTTGGGCGGATGATGAGATGTGTCCCCATCTCAAATCTCCACCATATCCTAACGTTTAGGTGGCAAAGAAAGGAGTCCTTCTTTCCCTATATCCTGGCCCTCTTCCACAATTCTGAAGTGAGTTTCAGTTGCAGGATTCTTGTAGGTCAGTGGTTCTCAACCTGTGGGTCAGATGTTCTGGCCTTCAACTCCCAGAAATCCTAACAGCTGGTAAACTGGCTGGGATTTCTGGGAGTTGTAGGCCAAGACACCTGGGGACCCACAGGTTGAAAATCACTGTTGTGGGTGAAGAGTGGCTATGAGTCTTGGATTGAGAATGGAGATGTCCACATAGACCAGAGAAGATCCTATACTGGAGACTATTAAACCTATGAAATGGAGAATAGAGGGTGGGAGCAAGTTTCCTTTGGCCACCCAGATAACAGAAAGGCGTGGCAGAAGGGTTGTCGGCATTCAGAATTAAATATATTAGGCCAGTGGTTCTCAACTTGTGGGTCCCCAGGTGTTTTGGCCTACAACTCCAAGAAATCCCAGCCAGTTTACCCACTGTTAGGATTTCTGGGAGTTGAAGGCCAAAACATCTGGGGACCCACAGGTTGAGAACCACTGTCTTAGAGAATAACGTCAAGGTATGTTCAGTTGCATTTTTTCATACATTGGATGTGGGATAGTATTCATTGGATATTGTCTATTCCAGAGGAATCCGATCTCTCAGAATCCTGGTTCTGCAAATCCACTTGGGTTGCCCTCTTCAATCTTTGTTTGACCAGTGGCCAAGGCTGACTTTTCCTGTGACAGCAGCATGGTTTAGGAAGTTGGCATGTGTCTTATTAGGGTTCGTCAAGATAGTCTTACAGGAAGTCAGCTGTAGAGTGAAGTTAAATGGAGAAACACAACATGCTGAGGAATGATAGGAGTTGGGAGTCTAGCAACATCTAAAGCAGTGGTTCTCAACCTGGGGTCCCCAGATGTTTTTGGCCTACAACTCCCAGAAATTCCAGCCAGTTTACCAGCTGTTAGGATTTCTGGGAGTTGAAGGCCAAAAACATCTGGGGACTCCAGGTTGAGAACCACTGATCTAGAGGGCCTTTGTGATTCCACATTAGTTGGGAGGAATAGGAGTTGTAGTCTAGCAACATCTAGGACTGTAGTTCCTAACCTTTGGAACTCCAGATGTTCTGGACTTCAGGTCCTAGCTAGTAAGCTGGCTGGGATTTCTGGAAGTTAAAGTACTAAACACCTGGAGGCCCAAAGGTTGGGAACTTCTGATCTAGGAAATCTTCATGATTCCAGAGGAATTCAGTCACTCAGGATCCTGGTTCTGCAAATCCACTTGGGTTGCCCTCTAGGGTCTGTCTTTGAACAGTGGCCAAAGTTGACTTTCCCTATGACGGCAGCATGGTTTGGGAAACCAGCATGTGCCTTATTGGGGTTCATCACTTCTTGAAGTGGGTCTTACAGGAAGTCAGCTGTGAAGTTGAATGAAAAAACACAACATGTTGAGGGATGATGGGAGTTGGCAGTTTAGCAACATCTAGAGGGCCTTTGTGATTCCTCATTAGCTGAAGAACCATAAGAGTTGGAGTCTAGCAACATCTAGAGGGCCTTCATGATTCTTCATTACATGAAGAACCATAAGAGTTGGAGTCTAGCAACATCTAGAGGACCTTCATGACTCTTCATTAGGTGGCGAACCATAAGAGTTGGAATCTAGCAACATCTAGAGGGTCTTTGTGATTCTTCATTATGTGGACAACCATGAGTTGGAGTCTAGCAACATCTAGAGGGTCTTTGTGATTCTTCATTAAATGAAGAATCATAAAGAGTTGGAATCTAGCAACATCTAGAGGGTCTTTGTGATTCTTCATTATGTGGACAACCATGAGTTGGAGTCTAGCAACATCTAGAGGGCCTTCGTGAGTCCTCATTAGGTGAAGAACCATAAGGAGTTGGAGTCTAGCAACATCTAGAGGGCCCTCGTGATTCCTCATTAGGTGAAGAACCATAAGGAGTTGGGAGTCTAGCAACTTCTAGAAGGCCTTAGTGATTCTTCATTAGGTGAAGAACCATAAGGAGTTGGAGTCTAGCATCATCTAGGAAGCCTTCATGATCCATCATCTAGGCGTAGTGTTACTTTCTCCAGGTTCATGGCTGTTTATATGGATAGAAGACATAAATGCAATGTATGTGTGTACGTGAGCGTATGTATGGTTAGCTAAATAGATTTGGTGTGGGTGGAAGTGGAGTGTCTTTTATGATGGAGGCATCTTTGAGTCAGGGATAGGATACAAAAATCCTATAGAAGAGTGTTGTGTACCTTCAGATTGGTCCTGTTGAACAGGTGGGTTGAAGGACATCCAATAGGGAAAGAGCCCTGAGCTGAACTCCAAACGTCCTCCTTAGCTGCAGCAATAACATTCCAGTTTTTTCCATGTGCCTCTTAAATATTTTTATGATAATTCCTGTTATATGATGGGTGGGGAGAATTTGCCCTGTTGGGTTCTGCTGTTTTGTTTCTAAAGTGCCTTAATCTATGGGAACCAAAGCCTGTCTTTCCTGTCTCCCTCGAGATAGTTTATTGCAAATCTTATACCAAATGTTTAAGGAAAATGTGCTTATATAAATATATATTAATAATAAAAATCCTGCTTTATTTAAGGTCCGCACGACCGGTCTTGTTCTTTGTCATAAGGTGGGCTGTCGCTTAACACAAAGATGAGTTGACATCTCTCCACCAGAGAAGGTGGGTGAAAAGTCACATTGGGTTGTGGTTCGGTGTCTCCAAGAGTTGGTCTACACCAGGAAAAGTGCAAAGGGAAAAGGCGGGCAGCAGCAGCCCCGATGATGAAGACGCACTTATCCTGGCCACAGCACCTGATGCTCTTTATTTGGGGGGGGGGGGGGGAAAAGCCTTGAAATAACACCAGAAGCTGGTGAGATGATGGTGCCAACTTGAGAGGAGGCTACCAGGCCTCTCGTCGTCTTTGTTTACCCTGGTTTCTGGGGAGAGGAAAAGAGGGAGACGGAAAGAAGGGAGAGAAAAAGGAAGAGGGAAACGGTTTGAAGGAAGAGTGAAGGAGATGGAAGGAAAGAGGGAAGGAAGGGGTAGGAAAAGAAGAGAGAAATGAAAGAAAGGGAGAGGAAAGGAAGAGGGAGGGAGATGGAAGAAAGGAAGGGAGAGGAAAAGGGGAGAGGAAAATAAAGAAGGAACAAAGAGGTAGGAAAAGAGTGAAATGAAGGAAAGAAGGAAGAGGGAGAAAAGAGGGCGGGGATGGAAGGAAAGGAAGGAAGAGGGGAGGAAAAAAGGGAGGGAGATGGAAAGAAAGAAGTAAGAGGAAGGAAGATGGAAGGAAAAGATGGAGATGGAAAGAAGGGAGAGAAAAAGAAAGAGGGAAATGGTTGGAAGGAAGAAGGAGGGAGATGGAAGGAAAGGAGAGGAAAAGAGGAGGGAAATGAAAGAAAGGAAGGGAGATGAAGGAAGATGGATGGAAAAGATGGAGATGGAAGCAAATAAGGAAGGGAGAGAAAAAGAGGGTGGAAGGAAAGGAAGGAAGAGGGGAGGAAAAAAGGGAGGGAGATGGAAAGAAAGAAGTAAGAGGAAGGAAGATGGAAGGAAAAGATGGAGATGGAAAGAAGGGAGAGAAGAAGAAAGAGGGAAATGGAAGGAAGACGGAGGGAGATGGAAGGAAGGGACAGGAAAAGAGGAGGGAAATGAAAGGAAGGAAGATGGAAGGAAAAGATGGAGATGGAAAGAAATAAGGAAGGGAGAGGAAAAGAGGGGGGAGATGCAAGGAAAGAAGGAAGGAAGGGAGAGGAAAAGAGGAGGGAGGGAAGTAAAGAATGAACAAAGAGCAAAATGAAGGGAAGGAAGGAAGAGGGGAGGAAAGAAGGGATGGAGATGGAAAGAAAGAAGGAAGAGGGAGGAAAAGAGCGAAATGGAAGGAAGGAAAGAAGGGAGAGGAAAAGAGGGAGGGAGAAGTAAAGAAGGAAGGAAGAGGGGGAAAAGAGCAAAATGGAAGGAAAGAAGGAAGATGGATTAAAGAGGGGCGAGATGGAAGGAAAGAAGGAAGGAAGGGAGAGTGAGAGGAAGAAGGTAGAAAAGAGTGAAGGGAGGGAGGGAGGGAGGAAAGGGTGGAGGGCAGGGAAAGAAAGAGACAAGAAATAAGGAAGACATACTGGGAGGAAGAATGTAAGAAAAAGTAGAAAAGGGGGAAGTACGGAAGAGGAAGCGAGGAAGATAGGAAGAAAGGGTGGGAGGAAGAATGTAAGAAAGGTAGAAAAGAAAGGGGGAAGGAAGGATGGGAAAGAAAGGAGGTAAAGGAAAGGAGAAAAAAGAAAGCAGGCAGAGGGAGGGAGGGAGGGAGGGAGGATGGAGAAGGGGGTGGAAGGAAGAACATAAAAAAGTAGAAAAGGGGGGATGAAGGATGGAAAGGGAGGGAAAAAAGGAAGGAGGAAAAAGAGGAAGACAGAAAGGTGGGAAAAAAGAGAGGAAAGAAGGATGAAAAGAGGAAAGGAGATGTCATGAGCAAGGCTTTCTCACCGCAAGAGGGAAAATGCATTCACACTTGTGTAATTTCCTCTGGGGTGAATCCAACATGGAATCCTAGAATTGGAAGAGACCTCGAGGGTTACCCAGTCCAAGAAGCAGGAAAATCACATTCAAAGCACCCCCGTCAGATGGCCACCCAGCCTCTGTTTACAAGCCTCCAAAGGAGGAGCTTCCACCACATCTTCCTTCCTTTTCTTCTTCCCCCTCCTCCTCTTTCTTTTTTCGTTCTTCTCATCAGCAGAAACCACACGTTTAAAATTGAATTATTTTAATAATTTACAAAGTAATCAAGCGTTTTCCAATACATTGCTGTTTAAGGCACAGAAATCCATAGCATAGGTCCCTTCTACACTGCTATTTAAAATCCAGATTATCTGCTTTGATCTGGCAGTGTAGACCTCATATAATCCAGTTCAAATGTGGATTATCTGATTTGATAATCTGGATTATATGGCAGTGTAGAAAGCCATAGAGACCTAGAGTTGGAAGAGACCACAAAGGCCAATTTTGTGCCTTGCAGGAACACACCGCCAAAGCTCTCCAGACAGATGGCCATCCCATCTCTACTATAGCAGGTCAAGCTATGGTTGCAAACACACAACAGTAGCTTCACAGAGACATAAACATTGTGTGAGACCTTGGAGGTTCAGTGTGAATGCCAGCTTTCCTGGCCATGGCAACAATGCAATCGACGGTCTTCGGTTCTATGTTCAAAGGCACTTAAGGATCACAAACACTAGAAACAAAAATATTCCCAAAGAAGAAGCAATCAGAAGTCATCGGTCTTGATGCAGAGATAAAATTAGTCTTGGAATTGTCGTTGAGTTGGCCTCCATCGACAAATAACAACTGACACATCCTTATGGGTCCATCCGATTCTCAAAGTCGACCACGTCACTGCTATCTGATGCTGACCAAAGGATATGCCACGTAGTAGCCAATAGCAGAGCCCACAATGACGCCGATGAAGACCCACGAGTTGTACGACATCACAGCCAGCATCACCATGTATCCAAGGACGACCTGGACCACATGGATCAAGGTTTGGGCCACGTGCCAAGGGAAAGGGCTTTGGCCAAAGACAAAGAAAGCAGACCAAAGAATGAGTCAGATCGGCAGTTTAGCATTTGCGGGTTTACAGTTTCCGACTCCAGTCCTGGAATATGTAACTCATAGAGTATTGCAAGGGATCCCCAGAGGCCATCCAATCCACCCCCATTATGCCTGGCAGGAACACAACACTCAAAACATTCCTGACAGAAGACAATAAACAAACCTGTTACATACTGTTATGGTTGTCGGAAATATTCAATATTAACGAGGTATTTTTAATTACAACAATGTGAGTCAAGCACTGAATGGATTAAATGGATGCAATGACTCAGAAAAAGCTGCAATTCAATATAAGCAGGCGTACCTGTAGCTTAGTAGCCACCAGTCTGTGAGTGGTCTCAGTGGGAGAACGACCTCAGTGTGTTCGTAGGCCTCAGTATGAGTAGGCCTCAGTGTTAGTTCACCACAGTGGGAGAAAGGCCTCAGTGTGTTAGTAGGCCTCAGTATGAGTAGGCCTCAGTGTTAGTTCACCACAGTGGGAGAACGACCTCAGTGTGTTAGTAGGCCTCAGTGTTAGTTCACCACAGTGGGAGAACGACCTCAGTGTGTTAGCAGGCCTCAGTATGAGTAGGCCTCAGTGTTAGTTCACCACAGTGGGAGAAATGCCTCAGTGTGTTAGTAGGCCTCAGTATGACTAGGCCTCAGTGTTAGTTCACCACAGTGGGAGAAATGCCTCAGTGTGTTAGTAGGCCTCAGTATGAGTAGGCCTCAGTGTTAGTTCATCACAGTGGGAGAATGACCTCAGTGTGTTAGTAGGCCTCAGTATGAGTAGGCCTTAGTGTTAGTTCACCACAGTGGGAGAAAGGCCTCAGTGTGAGAGAGCTCTCAGTGTTTGTTTGTTTTTCTGTCGTGTTAGGGGCGACTTGAGAAACTGCAAGAACTTTGTGTTATGGAAACCTTGTTCTTGTAAATAGTGCGGCCATATTATTTTACTACAAAGAAAAGCCTCCAAAGGAAGACATAACATTGGTCTGTGTGTTTTTGTTCTTTTTATCACTTTGGGCTACTGGTGCTGGGTCACGCTGCTGCTAATAAGTTACTCCGCTGTACATTTATGAGGAGGGTCTTTTGCTAACAATCCCACTTGCCCAACACTGGTTGCCCTTCTCCGGTCACATCCTAACTCCTGCCTAGGAACCTGCCACTTCTCTAGGGGATGCCCAAGCTTACTCCGACTCATTTCCTACCTCCTCCATTTACTTACAATTTTGAGGTGCCCGTTAGCTGGGCTGTGCCCGTGTTAATAGATGTGATCTCTGGTTCTCCTAAAGCTTCCTGGCTGATGCTGGGGGGCACCACGGGCATGGCACACTGAATCAGCTTCAATTTGCCCACTTTGATGGCTTCGTAGAGCACCGCCAGCAGCAGGATGATCACCACTGTGAGCACCATCCCTGTCAATAGAAGAACGACAACAATAACAAGAGTTACAGTTGGGACAGAGTCGGGCCATCATCTCACACCTCTGTGTAAATATGGTCAGGGTAGTATGGCAGTCAGAGATTGGAATTGCTGAGATTTGAAAGTCCCTTCTCCAAATCTAAGACTGGAATTCCCAGTCTAACCAGAAGTTGCACCCAAAAAGCCTGAAAGTCAGCCAGTTGTCACATAGTGTAATGAAAGGGTGGCAGCATGGATGTTATCTATGCACATAATAAAAGTGAACATTTGTATATGTGGCTGGGGTGTCCACTTACACAGACGGGCTCCTGCATCCACAAACAGCTATAGCTCCCACGACTCAGCCCGAAAGACAGTTGCATCTGTCAAGTAGGAAATTTAGGTACCACGTACCGTATATACTCGAGTATAAGCCGACCTGAATATAAGCCGAGCCACTTAATTTTATCACAAAACACTGGGAAAACGGATTGACTCGAGTATACGCCGAGGGTAAGAAATGCGGCCGTTACGGGTACATTTCAAAATGAAAATAGATACCAATAAAATTATATTAATTGAGGCATCAGTAGTTTAAATGATTTTGAATATTTACATAATTTAAGATAAGACTGTCCAGTTCTGATTAAACCATTATTCTAACCTTCTTCATTGTAAATGTGCTAATTTTTTTTTTGTCGTGTCAGGAGCGATTTGAGAAACTGCAAGTCGCTTCTGGTGTGAGAGAATTGGCCGTCTGCAAGGACGTTGCCCAGGGGACGCCTGGATGAATGTGCTTATGTATCCTAATAATAATAATAAAGACAGTAAAATAATAAATGTAATAATAATAATAGAGTGAAATAATAAATATAATAACAACAACAACAACAATAAATGGGGTAAAATAAATGTAATGATAACAATTATAAAATAAAAATGTAATAATAATAGAGTGAAATAATAAATATAATAATAACAACAATAAATAGGGTAAAATAATAAATATAATAATTATAAAATAAAATAGTAAATGTAATAATAATAGAGTGAAATAATAAATATAATAACAACAACAATAAATAGGGTAAAATAAATGGAATGATAACAACTATAAAATAAAATAATAAATGTAATAATAATAAAGTAAAATGATAAATATTATGATATCAATAATAATAAATAGAGTAAAATAATAAATAACCTTGACTCGAATATAAGCCAAGGGGGACGTTTTCAGCCTAAAATCAGGGTTGAAAAACTAGGCTTATACTCGAGCATATACATTATGTGGGGAGGTGAATTTAACTAATTTACGAGGCCATAAAAATCTCCAGCAAGCATGCAAAGAATGAGGAAGTACTTCATCAGTGTCACAAATGGACGGTGAAGCGATGGCTCCCCTGGTGGCCAGAATACCCTCATGAAAAAGCTGGAATATTAAATAGCCTCTGTGTCTGTCTATATATGTTGTGTTTCTATGGCATTGAATGTTTGCCATGTATATGTACATTGTAATCTGCCCCGAGTCCCCTGCGGGGTGAGAAGGGCGGAATATAAATACTGTAATATACTGTAAATAAATAAACACACCAAAGGCCCTCCCTCCAATGACATTGCAGGTTATAGTGAGTGCCGTGGACACATCCAAGAGCCCTGCCAATGTCCTCCACCAACACCATACTACCCACCACCCAAGTGAAGGCTTTCATAGGGGGGCAATTTCATCCTAGATTTTCTGTTTTTCCTCCACCACAGACATCCCAGTGTTTCTGACTCTCTCCATTGATGTGGAATTTGCATGACCCCGCCCACTCCCTGTCCCTTAACCTTTCCTATTATTTTCTATGCCACACAACAAACAAAGGAATTGGTCAGCAACTGAACAGGAGGTTTGGGGAGAACTCACCATGATGTATAGGAGTTGTAGGTCCTGGGATGTATAGTTCACCTACAATCTAAGAACTGCACTCTGAACTCCACCAGCAATGGACTTGGAACTAACTTGGCACACAGAACCCCTATAAACAACAATAGGTCTTTGGAGAGATTTATAGGAGTTGTAGTTCACCTACATCCAGGATGCACTATGAAATCAAACAATGATGGATCTGGACCAAACTTGGCACACATACCTGATATGCCCAACTTTGAATACTGGGAAGTCTTGAGGGGAATTAGCCTGGACATTTTGGAGTTGTAGGGATGTATAGTTCACCTGCAGTCAATGAGCACTCTGAACTCTACCAAAGATAGAATTGGACCAAACTTGGCACACAGAGACCCCATGACCAGCAAAAAAAAATTGGAGGTCTTTGGGGAAATGTATTGTCGAAGGCTTTCATGGCCGGAATCACTGGGTTGTTGTAGGTTATGGCCATGTTCTAGAGGCATTCTCTCCTGATGTTTCGCCTGCATCTATGGCAAGCATCCTCAGAGGTAGTGAGGTCTGTTGGAAGTAGGAAAATGGGTTTATATATCTGTGGAATGACCAGGGTGAGACAAAGGACTCTTGTCTGTTGGAGCTAGGTGTGAATGTTTCAACTGACCACCTTGATTAGCATTTAATGGCTTGGAAGTGCCTGGGGGGAATCTTTTGTTGAGAGTGATTTGATGTGCCTGATTGTTTACTCTCTGTTGTTTTTGCTGTTGTAATTTTTGAGTTTTTTTTAATACTGGTAGCCAGATTTTGTTCATTTTCATGGTTTCTTCATTTCTGTTGAAATTGTCCACATGCTTGTGTATTTCAATGGCTTCCCTGTGTAGTCTGACATGGTGGTTGTGAGAGTGGTCCAGCATTTCTGTGTTCTCAAATAATATGCTGTGTCCAGGTTGGTTCATCTTTGGGGAAAATTCACCTTAATTTTGGGGAATTGTAGTTCAAATACACCCAGAGAGGACTGTGAAAGAGAAAACACAAATGGATCTGGACCAAACTTGGCACACATACCTGATATGCCAAAATTTGGTAACTGGAGGAGTTTGGTGGGAACTTACTTTTTTCTGGGAGTTGTAGTTCACCCACAACCAGAGAAACTGACCTCCACCGCTTATGGACCTGGATCAAACTTGGCACACAGAACCTCAATGCCTAGACTGACCTACTGAAGTTATTGTTGGTGCTATTATTATTATTATTATTATTATTATTATTATTATCACCATCATCATTATTACTATTATTAGAAACACAAGATGAGTACACAGCAAACAAGATCACGATGCTGGTTGTTGTATTGGATCACACGTCGGACACTTCCCAAGTGTGATGTATTGGCGAATAATGCGTACAGATCCCAGTAGGGTGGTCTTTTCCAGCAGACAGATGATAATTTTGTCAGTGCCAATTGTGCTTAAGTGCAGGCCAAGGTCTTTAGGCACAGCACTCAGTATGCCGATCACCACTGGGACCACCTTTACTGGCTTGTGCCAGGGTCTTTGCATTTTTTCTTATTATCTTTATTATTATCTTTATTATTATTATCTTTATTATTATCTTTATTATTATGGGAACAAGGAACTTCTATCATTTTAAAGAAACGAAATGCGTGCTTTCATAACTAACAAACACCCAACCTCTCTGTTTAAATGCTGAAATAGTCAAAAACTATGTGCAAATGGGCTTAGGAGGGCCTTGTTCCTTTAAGCAACCTGTGTACCCAACCTTCCCATTTTGGCCCCAGACAAGATTATGAAGCAAAGCAGTCTAAGGAAGGCTGTTATCTGAAAAAAAGCTAAGCAGAGTCATCTTTCATAACCACCTTCTGTCTTCTCTGCAGCTCCGGTTTCCTTTAGTCTCCTTAGTCCTCTAGCTTCCCTCCTGCTTGGCTCAGCAGCCCATATTTCGACTTAAGATAAGAGTATTTTTTGTTCTCGTACCTGCTGGGGTGTGGACGTTCCAGAAGTCAAACAGAAGGACGACTTTGTCCGAGAAATAAAAATGCATCTGCAGCAGATGATCAAAGGAGTGAGAGAGACAGAGAGAGAGAGAAACAATTTTAGGAACAGGAATCCATGGCTATAACAATATATCTCCCCCCCCCCCCCAATCACCCACTTTCCTCCGCCTTCCTTCTCTCCCTTTTTGGAAACAAACGGCGAATCCTCCCACCAAAAGCCCTCCTCCTGCTCTCTGGATGTAGGTGAACTACAACTCCAAAACTCAAGCTCAATGCCTACCAAATCCTTCCAGTATTTTTTGTTGGTCATGAGGGTTCTGTGTGGGAAGTTTGGCCCAATTCTATCATTGGTATTCCATCTGAATGCTCTCCGATTGTAGGTGAACTATAAATCCCAGAAACCACAACTGCCAAATGTGAAGATCAATTTTCAAACTCTACCACTTTCAAATTTGGGCATATTAAGTATTTGTGCCAAATTTGGTCCACATCCATCATTGTTTGAGTCCAGAGTGCTCTCTGGATGTAGGTGAACTACATCTCCAAAACTCAAGGTCAATGCTCACCAAACCCTTCCAGTATTTTCCGTTGGTCTTGGGGATTCTCTATGTCAAGTATGGTTCAATTCCATCATTGGTAGAGTTCGGAATGCTCGTTGATTGTAGGTGAACTATAAATCCCAGCAACTAAAACTCCCAAATGTCAAGATCTATTTTCCCCAAACTCCGCCAGTGTTCACATTTGAGCATATTGAAGATCCATGCCAAGTTTGGTCCAGATCCATTATTGTTTAAGTCCAGAGTGCTCTCGGATGTAGGTGAACTACATCTCCAAAACTCAGGTCAATGCTCACCAAACCCTTCCAGTATTTTTTGTTGGTCATGGGGGTTCTCTGTGTCAAGTATGGTTCAATTCCATCATTGGTACAGTTCAGAATGCTCTTTGATTGTAGGTGAACTATAAATCATTGTTTGAGTCCATAGTGCTTTCTGTAGGTGAACTACAATTCCCAAACTCAAGGTCAATGCCCACCAAACCCTTCCAGTGTTTTCTAGTTTATAGTTCACCTACAATCAAAAAGCATTCTGAACCTCACCAATGTTTAGAATTGGGCCAAACCTCCCACACAGAACCCCCATGACACACAGAAATTACTGTGTTTTCTGATGGTCTTTGGTGACCCCTCTGGCACCTCTTCTAGGGGTCCCGGCCCCCAGGTTGAGAAACACTGTTCTAAGTCGTGCCATTTTGCCAAGTTGTCTTTTGTTCTGCCAACTCCACTTCTGAGTCTGTTCAGGGACTTCCAAGTGGCCCATTCTTGGTTTGTCCTTGGAGGAAGACCCTCATGGAGGGGCATCCAGTTGGGATTTCCTGGTTCAGCTTCCCAGAGGATACCCAAAGTAGCAGTGTAATAAAGGTCAAGGGATAGGTTAATTCATGATCCTGTGGGCCGCAGATTCAAAATGTTTGTGTACCCAAGATAGTGGGTTGGTGAATCCATTCTGGATTTTGGAGAACTTGCAAGAAGCTGTCCAAGGTGCTGAACGACCACTTCAATATCGCTCCAGCACCTTGGACAGCTCTTCTAAAGCTTGAATTCCAATAAAAACTGTTGGCTGAGTAAATAGGGATTGCAGGCACTTCTGGGAATGATACCTGCCCCAAAATGTTCCGTAGCCTCTCCCTATTCTTGGCAGGATATCCCTTGCACAACATGGGGCTGATCCGGCATGAAGAAGGACGTCATCACGTGCTGTTTTCTTCCCACCAAAGCCTATAATTAATTACTCCCCGCCTTAATCCTTCTAACTGATGCCTTCTGTTCGGCTTAACGCTGGAGCTTCAAAACAAGGTTGTAAACAAGATTGGCATCTCCCAAATCCCTGGTTCGTGGGGGTCAAGACGCAACTGCACTTGTTTGTGGGTCTGGAAGGGTTGCCTCTCCAAGCGGAAACTCATTTGAAAACTAAAATGGAAACCCCAAACAAATGCTCAACCACTGTATTTGAATGTGGGGTTATGCTATTTGAAAATTCAACCACAAAGTTGCTACTGTTGTTATGATTATTTACACCCTGCTTTTCCTTTCCATCAGACTTCAAGGCAGTGAGTTCCATTGCTGAACGACTCTCACAGTCAGGAAGTTCTTCCTAATGTTCAGATGGAATCTCCTTTATTGTAGTTTGAAGCCATTGTTCTGTGTCCTAGTCTCCAGGGAAGCAGAAAACAAGTTTACTCCCTCCTCCTTATGACTTTCCCTCACATATTTATACATGTCTCCTCTCAACCTTCTCTTCTGCAGGCTAAACATGCCCATCTCTTTAAGCCGCTCCTCATAGGGTTTATTCTCTTAGTTTTTCCCTAAAATCATGGGTAGATCATGTTTGCCCAGTATGCACACTGCCTTGCCAGAGGGGAAAAAAATGCTACCCAGATGAATAGTAAAGAACAAGTCGTTTACTCTTCTTAATTCTGAACAACATATCTACAATCGTGTGGTCAGTCGCATTAACTCACACAATGTCCTTTTATGAGAGATTAGCCGTCACCTACCACGCGTTGCTGTGGCCCAGTCTGTGTATATGTGTTTTGTGCGTGTATATTTTTGTGTATATGTGTGTTTGTGTGTATATGTGTGTGTGTGTGTGGTTTTGCGCATGCATTGTAATATAATGTTGTTGTTTTTTGGCTTAAGTCTCTTCTGTGTTTTTCAGTGTTTTTATGAGTGACTAGCCGTCCCCTGCCAGACATTGCTGTGGCCCAGTCTGTGTATATGTGTGTATGTGTGTGTATATATGTGGTTTTGCACATGCATTGTAATGTGGGTTTTTTTTGCTTTTGAAGTCTCTTTTGCCATGTTTTTAGCGTTTTATGAGTGATGGTCACTTGTTGCCCTGATAAATATATTGTGTCCAAATTTGGTGTCAATTCATCCAGTGGTTTTTGACTTCTGTTAATCCCACAAATGAACATTACATTTTTATTTATATAGACTAGCTGCCCCCTGCCACGTGTTGCTGTGGCCCAGTCTGGTGACATGGAAAATAGTGTTGGCTTGTGGGTAAACAGTATTTCTTCTCAGTGTTGATGTAGAGATTGTCTGGTTTGCTTACTCTGGAACATGCAACATATCATTGCCCTTCTTTAGAGGTCCCTTTGGAATCTATGAGACTATATCTGGCATATATGTGTGTGAGAGAAAGAGAATCATATCTAGTTATTTATATCTAGGCTGGATGGCTCTTTCTCGGGAGGGTTTTGATTATGTTTTCTTGCCCTGGTGAAGGGGGTTGGATTGGATGGTCATTAGGCAGCATTTCTCAACCTGGGGGTCAGGACCCCTGGGGTTGTGAAGGGGTGTCAGAAGGGTCTCAGAAGACCACCAGAAATCACAATATTTTCTGTTTGTCATGGGGGTTCTGTATAGAAAGTTTGGCCCAATTCTCTCGTTGGTGGTGTTCAGAATGCTCTTTGATTGTAGGTGAACTATAAATCCCAGCAAATACAACTCTCAAATGTCAAGGTCTATTTTCCTCAAACTCCGCCAATGTTTACACTTGAGTATTCGTGCCAAGTTTGATCCAGATCCATCATTGTTTGAGTCCACAGTGCTCTCTGAATGTAGGTGAACTACATCTCCAAAACTCAAGCCCACCAAACCCTTCCAGTATTTTCTGTTGGTCATGAGAGTTGTGTGTGCCAAGTTTGGTTCTATTCTGTCGTTGGAGGAGTTCAGAGTGTTCTTTAATTTTAGGTGAACTATAAATCCCAGCAACTACAACTCCAAAATGACAAAATCAATTTTTTTGAGTGAAGGACATACATTGGGTTGTTAGGTGTCTTGTGTCCAAATTTGGTGTCAATTTGCCCAGTGGTTTTTGAGTTATGTTAATCCCACAAACGAGTATTACATTTATATAGATATAGATTTACAATGGCCTTTCTTTGTCCATGTGGATAATCTCCTTCAACAGCTCATGAAGCAAGAGCATACTCCAAACTCCAAACTGTCTCTTTGTCTGCTACTCTGCAAGCATCTGTATTGGTTGAGCTATGCCCGGGAGCTGGCTGAGCCTGGGACTTTTGGGTACTGTTACATTTATCAGGCTTAACTGTAACAGTATCCAAAAGTCCCAGGCTCAGCCAGCTCCCGTGCATCGCTCAACCAATCAGCTTCATGCATCTTATTTTACAATTGACACATACACTAATTGATTTCTTACATGCTCCAACGAAGGAGACTCAAGAGTTACAGATCTACAGTCCATTAAGGGCCCATCTACACTGTAGAATGCATGTCATTTGGCACCGCTTGAACTCTAATGGCTCCTACTTGGTTCCATCATACAGAGGGACACCCTGCAGCACATTTTGCTCTAGTTTTTCAATGAATGTCTTATTACAGTCTGAACCAATTCAACCTAGTTTGTGGCAGTCACTACCAGGAGGAGTAGTTGCAGGTGCACCTAATGCAAGACTAGGCTTGCTAAGGTGTGGTTCCCAATGAGTGATTGGCCGGGAATGGGAAAACAATAGGAGGCTCCTGGTTTGCAAAAGTTCCAAGATGGAAACAGACTGAGGTTTGATTGGCTGAGGAATTAAATTGGAAACAATACAAAGACAGGAGCTGTCTTCATAGACCTGACAGCAGCCTATGATACTGTGAACCACCGCCTCCTCCTGAGAAAAATGTATAATATCCCAAAGGACTACCACCTCACCCGTCTCATAGGAAACCTGCTACAAAACAGGAGCTATTTTGTTGAGTTCCAGGGCCAGAGAAGCAGATGGCGGAAACAGAAGAACGGCCTGCCTCAGGGGAGCGTGCTTGCTCCATCCATGTTCAACATCTACACAAATGACCAGCCACTGCCAGAACGGACAGAGAGCTTCATCTATGCTGATGATCGTGCCATTACTGCTCAAGCAGGGAGCTTTGAGACGGTAGAACAGAAGCTCTTCGAAGCTCTAGGTGTTCTTATTGCCTATTACAGGGAAAACCAGCTGATCCCTAATCCATCTAAAACACAGACATGTGCCTTTCATC